GTTTATGTTTACAGCAAATAAAGAAGATCCAAAAGGCAAACACAAACCTGAAGGTTGCCAACTCCTTATTTTGCTCTCTGAGAAGGTCTTCCTTTGCCCAGGCCTGCCACTTTAATCAAGGAGCATTAATTTATACATGACAGAAAAGACCCCTGTTTTGAAAGAAGAAGAGAACATCCAAAAGCAGAATGAACAACCTCTTCTCTTTCTACTTTGATGGCATGTAGTTCTCTATCTTTCTCTTCCATTTTCCTTTTCAATTCATTTATGGTAGTTTCACTTTCGTGGATTTTCTCCTAACACAAATAAAGCCAAAATACAGGTTGAAAGGGGCAAAACGACAGCAACTGTGTAGAATTTACATGTAGCATGCTTGGTACCATTTCAAGAGTCAATGAATCAAATCAGTGTTTTAAAGACCGTTTCAAACATGCTATATTGAATACGTGATTTCAAAATAAAATAATGATAGATCTTGTATTCAACTCCAGAAAAAAGACAGATTTTACACATTCACTCATTTTGACAGTCAATACATGACACAAGTTTCTTAATGTTTATATCTTACACATGAAACTTAATTAATTTTTTCTCCTTTCTATAAATTAAAGATCATATAAAAAATTATAGATGCGTATAAAACTTTAAATTTTTCTTTTCTCATAAAGTTGAAGTTCTGACAATAATACTACAAATCACACTCTAAAGTCAAACCTCAAGCTTAGCAGTGGCAGTGACATGGGCCTTGATTTTAGCATCACACCTGCTCTGCATATCCAGGATCCTTGGTCTTGCAATTGCTTGAGCTTGGAGTTCAACCTCCGTCTGTTGGAGATCTTCTCTCTGTTTAGTAACATTGTGAATCCGCTGCTGCAATATGTCATCATCCAAACTTCCATCAACCGTAATAGAAATGAAGTCCGCATCAGTAGACTCTCTTCCATGCTGCATATCGATAAGGTTTCAACCATTGTTTAAATTTCATTGTTCTCAAAATGGATTTTGTTTTTAGTACCATGAAACTTACCAGGTATATTTTTCTCTTACGTGATTGTTCCAATTTTGATCTTTCCAGATCCTGCAATAATGCAATAAATCTGAATAAAACAAACAGTCAACACCAACTGCCTACTAATAATAATAACAATTATAATCTTTCACAGCTTAATCAGCATTAACTTGATGCTCAATCCTGCCCTTCACGGCTTGACATTTCCCACTCTTGGGGTGAAGGAAACACTTAAAACAGTTTAAACCAAATTCAGATTCTGAATTATTTAACACCCAATGAACCACAACTTGACACCAAAGTGAGCTAAATAAATTATATTAATGAAAAACTTAAACAAAAAAGGTAAAATAAGTACCTGTTAATGATGAATAATCAAAGGACATAAACAAATTAATCCTAAAAGATTAGGAAAAAAGAAAAGATAAACCCTATTTTTTAGCTCATAGGGAACAGTGGAGAATACCAAATACTAGTTGTTAAATTAAATTAGTGATGGTACTGTCCTTTTTTCTATTCTCAAGACAATTGGGAATTTCATATTCGAAACAGAATTTATTCGCATTTCAAACTTTTTCTCAAAAACCAGATAAAACGGAAAGCAAAAGTTGTCATGGTTAGATGTAAATCACCACTTCACCCCCCGGGTTCTGAACCACTTGAAGTTCGGAAACGGCACGCCACTCCTTCCGAGAAGGTGATGTCATCGGCAGCGAACCACTCCGTCCGGCGGCAACACTAGCAGCTACCTCCATTGGATCAGAAAGTCTCACAATGCTCCAACTCTCCCACTTTCTCTATCTGCAAAAGAGCAGACACGAAAACAGTGGAAAGAAGGAAAATAAAGAAATAAATGTTTTCCGACGATGAAATAAACCAAAACCCTAGAACTGAAGAAATTTAGGAGGAGGTAATAGGGCAAAAGAGATAACAAAAATGGGGGGCGCTGGGTTAGGGTTCAAGGATTGGAGGGTTTTTTTGGATAGGTTTGAGATTGAGATTGTGATTTTTAAGTTTTAAACGCCAATTACGAGAGGGAAAGATGGTTGTGCCATCGTGAAATCTCGACCCATCCTAGCCTCCCGCCATTTATACAGCAACTTCATCCACAACATTATGATTCCATCACGCTTTCCCGGTGGCGCGTGTCTTCCACGTCACTGGTCTAGTCAAGATCATTTTGACTAAAAGCTTCCAAAATGTAAACGCCGTGAAGGAGGCCCAGGCCCTTGAGCCTTGAAATTATTGGCCGAAGTAATCCATTGCTCTTGAAATTTCGACCAAGGTTTTAACTTTTGTTTATAAATAAATTAACATTTAATCTTTAAATTCAATACAATTTTTAATTTTATTCTTAAGTTTTTTTAAATTTATATTACTATTAGAATTTAATAATCTTTTAATCTAATCTTACAACTTAAATTTTAACAAGGAAAGGCACAATTATAATAGTTGATAGTGACAAATATCATCTTTGATTCGAATTTTTTTTATTAATTATTTATATTATCACTCGTGCCCATTTAAAATTTTATTTGTACACACCATACAAAAATTTTATGATATTAATGCATATGTATTTATCGTAAAAAAAATCTCTCAGCAAATTGATTAATATGACGAAGGAAAAAAAATCCGTTAGCAGAGCTGCAAACAATGCGTTCGGTGAACTGTTCGTGAACCGTTCATATAACGTTCGTTTATATTCATTTGTTAAGTTAAATAAACGAACATGAACAAAAGAATTTATGTTTATTTAATAAACGAACATGAACAGAGGTGTGGTAAAATTTCCAACATATGCTAAAAGGGATACCAGGGCTGCTTGCTTTGATTGTTGCAACTTGGTTTTTTCCTTTCAAATTGCTAAACTGAAATCTTACTCTACTAACGCCTCGAGTAACAAAGGTGTTAGCGTAACTTTTGAGGTCAAAAGCTTCAACAATTCATTGCAAACTATGACAGCCACTCGTCTAAACAGTGGAATACATAAAGTAACTCACATAACCAGCCTGGAAAACATGAATAAACTAAATGAACCTAGATTCCTTCCATATCTTGACAATTACCATCAGGGTTCTAGTTAACAAAGAATTCTTCTAGACTGATGCAGATCATTTATATTTCCAGAAACCGGAATGCTAGCTCATGACATACGAGCTTGTGTGTTTTTCAGCATTGCTTGCAGCCTTCTAGTGCATTTTCTGTTTGATTTTCGTAATTTTCTTCTTGTTTCCTTTCCTGTTATGTTCATTAATATCCTACTGCATACCTGAAATTATCATAATTGAGAATGTGTGCATCCCACTGTACTTTGGTACTCATGCATGTTTGGTAATCGAAAATATATATTTGGTGGAATATATGCTTTGAGATTGAGTATAGAATAGAAGCAGGAGACCCTAACTGTTAAATTTTATGGTGCTCCGTGCGCTTATACCTTCATCTTTCTTCTTTTTTCATTTATTAGGATGTAATAGCATGTGATGTGATAAACCCTGATCACATTGACGTGGAGTTTAAGTCTATTGGAGAATTAGAAGCCATCAAGCAAGCTCTCTATGAACTACTGATTCTTTCATTTTGAAGGGTGAGAGTGTTGAAGAAAACGTTCAACTTTGACTTCATAGCCAGTTTGTATGAAGGGTACACAGGGTCCGATACTCTTGAACTCCGCAAAAAAGCTGCATACTTCCCTATTAGGGACTTGCTAGATGAAGAGAATAAAGGAAAACCATCTGGAGTAAGTAATTTTTCTTGTATTTCTTTTCTGCATCCATGTTTCATGTTTCAAAAGTATCGCTGAATGCTGAGTGAGCTATATGTTATTCAAGCTTGGGGGTGATTGAATGTCAGATATAGTTTTATATCCAGTATGCGTAAGTTCAATTTTTTTTGAAGTTCTTCAATAGTTTGGAGGGTCATGTAACTGTAATGATACGAGACAGATCGCACTACTTGAGTTCGACTCAATCAAAGCTTGGTTTATACTTGATTTGAATGGATTCAACTTGAGTTATTAATAAACCAAAGCGAACTACTTAATACCCGAGTCAAAATACTTGTGAGCAAGTTGGGTTTCATCCCCATATCCAAATATGTGTTGGATACAAGTACTTCAAGAAAACTGGAGAGTCGGAATGAGGTAGAGTACGAGATTCTATGAGAGTAGAAGTTAAATTTGCATGTAGAATCGATGAACTCCGGTACCTTACATATATAACCCTGACATAAATTCCTGCATTCAGATATATTCGGTTATTCATCTTATTCTTGTCCATATTTGCAATATTTGTTCTTTAGGCTCGGAGTCGCAAACTGATTTGGAGAGATCTCTTGGCACATGGAGGAAGACGGGGGTTTGTGCAAATGAATACAGCAGGTTAAGTGCACAATTACCTGGTTCACGGTCGAGGCAAAATCAGAGTGAAGCCGATGATTATCGGGTTCAAGCTGTCATTAATGAACACTCCATGCTTGTAGTTTCTCAAATTGCTAACCTTCAATCAGATCCTCAGGAAACCTGAAAATTCCTCATCCTTGTATGCAATCGGGGTTTTGTTTTATGTAAGTCGACATTATTATTGATTGATGCAATATAAATTAATATTTAAATAAGAACAGACTCAATCTGAATTAATATTTAATATGCAATCTAACAATTAGATTTATGGAACAGACTCAGTTGATATGATAATGATATTTTAAGCCTTCAATCTGAGCGTATTAAAATTTAAGAATCAATTTAAAATTTAAATCATAGTTTAGGTAGGTATAATGAGATTAACCCATATTTAAATAAGACCTTCTCATTAGTAATGATAAGTTCGAATAAGACCGGATTAACTTGAATTTATGAAGGAGAAAAACCGTGCGTAAACCGGCTCATACCAACCCGGCTGTAACTGTAAGCCCCGTCCCGGACAAATCTACTTTTAGAAGTGTATATATAAGGAAACAGTATTTGGGTCCTCCTCTGAGTGCGATTAACTGTATATATCTGTTTCTCTTTAAAAGCGTTCAGAAAAGGAATCCCAGACCAGAAAACTTGCGTACAACTATATATGTAAATCTCTGCGTCTTTTGTTAGAAATTAAAGAAGAAGAGAATTCAGGTGGCGCGTCTTATTTGGATACCAGTTTTCTACAATGGAGCTCTTCTACTTAATGGTGTTCGGGGCATTGGCAGCGGTGGTGGCTGCATTAGAGCTAAGCAAGAACAACAAGGATCGAATCAACACGTCCCCTGCTTTCAATTCCTTTAAGAACAATTACCTTATTGTTTACTCTCTCATGATGGGTAATTTCATTCCCGTCATTTTTGTCTACCCAGATCTGGTTTCCGTTTCTATTCGTTAGATCTCTCTCTCTCTCTTTTTTACGTAGGCGTGGAATCTGATTGATTTTATTTTTGAGTCCGGATACCCGTTCCTTGAATTTGCGTTTCTAAAGCGTGATTATGATGTTTTTTTTTTATTTTTGTGAGTTGATAATTTTTTTATTAATGGCTACATTGAAAATTACATAATGTTTTTTCTTCTCTTTGGAAATCGAAAACGAGCTCATCATGAAAAGGAAAAGGAAAGAAAGAGAGATGCATTTATTTTATCTTGTTAAAGAAAAGGAAACGGTATAAAGAAAAATTAACTTATGATAATTGATTTGTGGGTTTCGGTCCTTTCGTTTTATGGTTGAGAAACATTGGATCTGTGGCATTTTGTAGGTTGGCGATAGGTCGTTGTTGCTTGGTTTTTATGGTTCTGTTTTTGGGTGATCAAGCCGTCCATTGTTCTTGCTGCCTAGAGTTTATGTGTAATTGTTGTTGAGTCTATTAATGCTTGGCCTGGTTGCCAGTTCATGTATCTGTATCATCTTCATGTATACTTTTTCATGTCATAATCATGTTTAAAGTATTTTATATTAACCTAACTCATGACAAATTTATGATTTATGTTTCACTGATGTTGATATTTTCTTGTATTCATTTCGTGTTTGATTTTCCTTTTTGTGTAGTGGCATGTTGTGTCCGATGTTGCTTGGTCCTTAGCTAGTGAAAGTGTAAGACTAAGTGAAAGATACACAAGATTGCATTAACCTCTTTAGTTAGTTTCTTAGCAATAGAAGGATTGATGGTGTTTTTTAGGTGATTCCTTGGTCTTAATAGTCTGAGATGCCACTGCTCTTGAGTTTTCCTTATTGTATGCTTAATCTGGCTCTTGATACAAGTCTTTTTTGACAACGTTGCTTGATTTGTGTAATTTAAGACTTTTTAAGGAAATTACTTCCTGTGGCTGGAGATCCTATTTTAAAAAGAAAAAAAATTCCCCATATAGTTACCTTCAAAAAATTCCCTATATAGTTACCTTCTCACTTGAACTGGTTTTGGTGGTATGATCTTATCTGTAGATATTTGTTATGGTAATTGTAAAAGTTAACCTTCTTATATTGTGGTTATCGGGCATATGTCTATCTTGCTCCTTTGATAAATGGGTGTTCATGTGTCAATAGCTGGAGACTGGCTGCAGGGTCCGTATGTTTACTATCTTTACAGTACATATGGCTTTGGAAAAGGGGACATTGGACAGCTTTTTATTGCTGGTTTTGGATCCTCCATGGTTTTTGGGACAATTGTAGGATCTCTAGCTGACAAACAGTAGGTTTAGTTTTGACTTCTTTTGTGATCTTTTCATACTTATGGATTAAACATCTTGTCGTAATACAAAAATGACTTCATGTGTTCAATTCAGGGGCCGGAGGAGAGCATGTGTTACTTACTGCATAACGTACATACTTAGCTGTATCACCAAGCATTCTCCTGAGTACAAAGTTTTGATGGTCGGTCGAGTTTTGGGAGGTATCGCCACCTCTCTTCTGTTTTCAGCATTTGAATCATGGCTTGTTGCCGAACATAATAAGGTGAGGCACTGCTTCTTTTCCCTTTTACTCCTTATACATATCAGACAAGCTTACAATTTACATTATTGAGCTTTTGCTTCTGTGCCCTCACTCATTTTCTTTCTCTTTTTAGTATTTTAGATTCTGTATGTTACTCCCTGTCAGGTTGTTTCACAATTCCCACAGTCCTCTGGTTTAAAAGAAAAAAACATTAAAAATATTTTGTTTATATCTGTAATATTGCATATGATGCATAGCCACATTCTAAACCCTAAACCCCACAGAAAAATGCTAACTTTGTTCATGATTTTTCTTTTTTTAGAAGATGGTAAGGCACGGACCATTTAGTTCCGCTTAGCCACATTCTTTTATGAGCTTTATCTGTTGTAATTGATGTTGATATCTCTTTGAAGTTTATATCTTCTGCCGACAGTTACTTTATTGCTTCTATTCTTTGCAGAGGGGCTTTGAGCAACAATGGTTGTCACTAACATTTTCAAAGGCAATATTTCTTGGGAATGGTCTTGTTGCCATTGTGTCTGGGCTGTTTGGGAACCTACTTGTTGATTCACTTTCCCTTGGACCTGTGGCTCCTTTTGATGCCGCTGCATGCTTTCTTGCTATTGGGATGGCCATTATTTTATCATCATGGACTGAAAACTTTGGAGACCCCTCAGAAAATAAGGACCTTCTTACCCAATTCAGGGGGGCTGCTATAGCAATTGCTTCTGGTAGAGTTCAATATTTTACTTTAAGATCAATGCATTGATCAGGTTGACATGTTGCAAGCACGTATTGTAACTCGAAGCTTTGTTACATGTTATCAGTCATCCACTGTAATGCATTTATTCTTTACATTGTTTACTTCCGGTTCCCCTCAGTTTAGTATTCTGCGCAGATGAAAAAATTGCTTTGCTGGGTGCCATTCAGTCCCTGTTTGAAGGTTCGATGTACACCTTTGTGTTCCTTTGGACCCCTGCTTTGAGCCCCAATGATGAGGAGATTCCTCATGGTTTTATCTTTGCCACATTCATGTTGGCTTCAATGTTGGGAAGCTCGCTTGCATCTCGATTAATGGCTCGCTCTTCACCCAGGGTTGAAAGCTACATGCAGATTGTTTTCGTGATTTCCTCTGCCTCTCTACTGCTTCCGATTGTAACTAATGTACGTCTCAACATCTCTTTCTTTGTGTGTATGTTGTTTATATATCATTCTTTAAGTGTACCATGACACGGATGCATTTGCAGCAGTTCTTGGTGGCACCTTCTAAAGAGAAAGATGGAAGTATCTCATTTGCAGTTTGTCTCCAGCTTCTCGGCTTCTGCACTTTCGAGGCTTGTGTAGGCATATTCTGGCCATCCATTATGAAAATGAGATCCCAATACATCCCGGAGGAGGCTAGGAGCACAATCATGAACTTTTTCCGCATTCCTCTCAATATATTTGTCTGCGTCGTGCTGTACAATGTATGCTACAGGCTTCCCATGATAGATTCATTCCATTATATGCCACAGTCGAATTTATAAGCTGACAGACACTCTGACTTTTAATTTGTTACTAACTAACCGTATTGATTTTTGCTTCTGAAGGTTGACGCATTTCCCATCACTATTATGTTCGGTATGTGCTCGATTTTCCTCTTCGTGGCATCTATCTTGCAAAGACGGCTGATGGCAATTTCCGACAAACCAAGTACGCACCAACCTTATGCCACACTATTCGCCCCTCAAATGAACATTCTCAAAAAGCCAAATTTACATATTTTGCACAGCCTGCATCAACCGGAAACATTCTTGTTCTCCTGCCATTTCTCCATGCATATTCGAGGCTGTTCTGGTCTCAAACTTTTGGTGAATTTTCTTTTTCCTTGCAGAGACTGAAAGTTGGACAGCCATGGACCCTGAGGCCGAGCCACTGAATGACTAGTGATGTTGAACGGATGGACGGACGGATAGGCCTGTAGACCATTAAGTATCGTATTCAGGTCGGGGGAAAAAAACAACGGTAACTTCATTCCTCATACCGTTGCAATTCCTACTTGTTTGATGGAGGATTGTAGTTTTTGGTTTTAATAGTAGAAGAGACTACAATATATCTTCAACAAAATAGTGGTCTGCCCAGTAAAGAAATTTAGGCCACTTAATTTCCATAATTGTTCTTTGGCTGTTTTTCAGTAGATCACATTACAGTAATTAAAATCCCTTTCTATATAATGTTTTCTTTTTCCTTTTCTTTTTATTGAAAATGCACCACCTTCATTATTTTCATTGAAAATAAAACAAGAAAAGAGATTGTAAATATGAAGATTAAGTCGATTTTGGAATATTTGTAAATTGGCATTAAAAAAAATATGCTTCCATTACGATAGCTATAACAAATAGAGAAAAAAATAAAATAATTATTTTCATAATAAATAAAGATATTTGAACTTGATATATGTTGGCTGATGATACCCTCCACCTTGTGACAATTGTTTTTTTTATTAATCTAAAAAGAATACAAGATAATATTTGTTCAAAAGATTTTTAACTGCTTGATAATGAATGTTTTATGCCTTTACGTACGTGATATTTGAATCTGAGACCGATTATCTCTTAATCACTAGACTCGTTTGATTTGTATAAATTAAAATAATTATTAAATGTAAATATTTATGAATACTTGTATTAGTCATTTGTTATGTAAATGAAAGAAAATATACTTATAAAATTTTGTTCAAAAAATTATTAGATTAAAATATTGTATATATAGATTTATTAGTTTTGTATTCTATATAATTTTTAAATGTTTTATTTAAAGTTATTGTAAAAGCTTGAATATATATGGGTTAGGATCCACTTACATTAGGTAAAACTAATAAGTTTTACACTAATTTATAGCCATTAGATTTAAATAAATTAATAACTTAAATTTAATTAAAAATTTATAATCATAAGTAAATATATTTTAACTCATAATAAAACAATATACTTTTCTTATTAGGGTTAGAGTTTATGAATTAGAGTTTAAGATTTAGAATTTAAGGTTTAAAGTTTAGTGTTTATGATTTAGAGCGTAAGATTTAGGATAGAGCTTAGGATTTGAGTTTGGGGTTTAGAATTTTGGGTTTTACGATTGGGATTTAGGAATTTAGGGTTTGACATTTTTAGATTTGGGGTAAAAGAATATATTATTTTACTGTGAATTAAAAGATATTTATTTATGAATAATAAATTTTAATTAAATATAATTTATTTATTTATTTAAATCTAATAGCTATAAATTAATGTAAAACTTATTAGTTTTACATAGTGTAAATGAATTCTGTTCTTATATATATATATATATATATATATAACACGTTCATTCAGGAAATGACCTCGTCTACAACTAAGCAATATGGCTTTCTAATTAATAAAAGAAAAAAACAATGTCTTTCTAAGCTTAAAAAATAATAAATAAAAATTGCGAATTGCTAAACCTTGACAAATATTAACAGCGTATAGGCAAATCCCTCCAAGTTTTTTTTTCTCTTCAACCCCCCCCCCCCGGAAATTACTTCTCAAGAAGGTGAGTAAAACTTCGATTTCAAATATTTATTTTTTTCGAATCGAAAAACTTGACTCAAATTAGCTCGAATCTTATTTTATAAACTCAATTTGATTTTTAAAAATTCAAATTCGATCCAAATTATAAAATGGAATTAAAATAACTTAAACTTTTTAGTAATTAATTGCTTGATTTTCAAGTTTGAATTTAATTTATCAACTCACTTATATATAGGGCATGATTCAAATTACATTGTATTATAACTCTTGTAGCTTTATACCTTTTCAGGACCATTTGGTGAGAAAAATTAAAGACTGAAATTAATAGTAAAAAATGAGAAGATATTCGCTGGAAAAAAAAGAGAGAATTAATCTTAACTTTTGAATTCCCTCACTCAAATGACCCTAAGTTGTAAAACTAAAAGGATTTTACACAATATAAGTGGATCGTAATCTATATATATATTATGATTATAGAAAACGATTTAAATTATAATCAAATAGTATTATAATATTATAAATATTTATAATTAAATTTTAACATAAACTCGAATAATTCAACTTGATTTGAAAAAAAAAACTTAAATAAAATTTATATTATGAAATAAAACTAATCAACAAAAATAACTCAAAAAACTGCTCACCTTCATTTCTCCGTAGACTATTAATATAAAGAAAATGACACCCCTTTTGCCGTTATTTTAATGCAGACTAATTCTTTTGTTTCTTTAAGGAAAAAAGAGTTTTGGAATATTAACAATTAGTATCATTGTTTCCCCTTATCATGTTATTTGGCAGCTACCACATTAGGTTGTTGAAGATGCTTCGACTTAGAAGAAGGAAGGAACGTACCTAAGCTTTGTGTACCCATGTGGAAGAACACAGAGACGATTTTATTCTCTGGTTGTTTCTTTTTCCTTTTTTCGAAGGTTACAAAAGTAATTGTACAGAGGAGTCGAGACTGTACAAGGAAAGGATGATCACATGGAACCGCACGTTAGATTGTGTTAACTGTGAACAAAATTGCGCCGCCTTGTTTAAGCCAGGAATATCATCTGCCGCCGCCATAATTCCTCTTTTTAAACTTCATTAAAGGCAACTCCCTTCTCCGGACGGCATCATCACAATGAACGCCGTTATCCTGTTTTATGCTGCATGCAGTCGCGAAATTCTTGTTACTACAGGTTTCGGCGTACTTCTCCGTGGTTTTAATCTGCTCCTCTATTAATTCTACCCCACTATGAGCATCCACGAGATTCAATAACAAGGAGCAACCGATGACATCTTCCTCTTCGGTAACTGGTGGTTCTATTATTGATTTTACCAGAGAAGTGATCAGATCGTCTCTGGGAGCAAAGCCAACCAGGACAAAATAGTTGTCTCAACTCACCAATTGATTGGTCGTCACAATGGCTCAAGGCAAAACCCAATAGCCGTTTCCGAGTACTCGCATCCATATTCTAGAGAGGAGGATCCCTTTCTATCGCAGCACATAAATCCCAAACAAGACCATGACCCTTTTTGACCAGAACAAGGCAGAGATTAAAGGCCAACTGCATATCACCCGAAACGACTGCTTCTCTAGCATGAACTTTCCGAACAGCTGACATTTCATCGGGGGAGCGCAATCCAAGAAGTTTGGCAACCTCAATTAGTTCATCAACATGTAGCTAAGCTCCAGCTTCACCTAAGTTTACCATTTTAATAATTTCCATTGGATCTTTTATTTGCCTGAATTGCATAGGAAGAAGAGTCACTCCGAAGTTGGGAAGTTTAACAGTAAGTGCATCAATAAGATCAAACTCTGCTTTAACGTTTCTGCTGCTTGAAAATAAATTCAAGCAATCTTTAGCCTTCCGGATCTGAAACAAGTCACAGCAGCACAATCAATATTTCGGTTTTTGAATTTAAAACAAAAAGAAAAGTCGACAAATTTCATTTACTTTGATAGCATGCGATTAAAATAAAAGTTCAGATCATAATACGAAAATCTACATGGCAATTGGCATTATTTTAACCATAATAGACAATAAACTGACAACATACTTCCGAGCAAGTCAAACTTGAAGCTGAGAAAAAAAACTCCATTGCAGCTTCAATAACAAGATTTTCTGCTTTCTCCCTTGCCAAGGCAACTGAACGTGTACCCTTTAAGTAACTTCTTGCAAGAGAAAACTTCTCTGCTTTAACAGTCCTCCACAAAATTCAGTTAACAAATATTCGAGGTCCAGAAATGGAAAGGCTGTCTCATGCAAGCACTGCAGATCATCCCACATGCTTTCCCACTCATCGTTTGGTCGGCCACGGTGTTGGCGAATAAATCTTGAAAGCATGAGGCTAATAATCTGTTTTGCACCTTGTTTATCTGAATGGGCTTCCAAGAAATAATTCTTTGGTTTTGGAACCTGTAAAAGAGCACCTCATAGTCGAAATCTACCCATAGCATCCAGCACAGCATGATAAACACCTTGAACTGATGTTTAAAAGGGAGATAATTCTAAAAGAGAATCCATACGTGACATAGAAGCATAAAATAGAAAGACAAACCAGGTAAAATGCAAAAATGCTCCCTGCTTCAATATGACCTTCTGCCACTTTGTACCTTTGATCAAGGTTGCCGATAGATATTTTAGAATCTGTAAAATTAGTTGTAAGTGAAGCATGTAAGATCGGGGTTACCAAACTGAGGCCCGAAAATTATGAAGCAAGGAATCATCAAAGTTGGGAGTTCGTGAAGCTTTGTTAGACGCCCTATTGACATTGATCGACAACGAAAGACTGCAAAATGGTTGCTTGACAAAGTAAATGCCGTACCTAAAATTATAAAGCTATCGAGTTCAACTTCAACCAAATTGCAGGGATATGCAGTTGAGGCAGCGGAATGCCTGAGATGAGGCAGAGATATGCAACGTTGGCTCAAATGCGATCGTCGATAGAACTCAGCGGGGAAGCAGCGGAATGAAATCAATGGCTGCCAAAGTCCTTGCGCAGTTGAATATTCTAGGTGAACAATCTTCATATTTCTTAATCTGAAATATCATCATGTGCCTGTAATTTTCTTGCATGGCTGTTTGATGATCTGAAATGGATGATAGCTTAACCATTATTTATAGAAATTGAGGTTTTCACTGATTGAATTTATGATATTATTGAGATAGAAGTTATTGTTTTGTTGATTGATGCACAAGTTTGTTTTGCTTATTGTTCTCAATATGAAAGTAAATGTGTGATTTTTGTTGTTAAGATACCTGTTTTAACGGAATAAAAACCCAAGTCGTGATAACCCCAAACAAGAACATCTCCAAGGTGAGGAGCAAAATATTTGTAAAATTATTCACTGCACTCGGGGAAAAAATACGCAGCACACCCAGTGGGATTCGAACCCACAATCGCTTGATTAGAAGTCAAACGCCTTATCCATTAGGCCATGGGTGCTTGTTGGAAAGGCATATACATTATAATATTTAAAATCTATATTTTATTGTCAAGACAGTTGCTTAGCAAATCAAATCAAGCTTTTGGTTTGGAAATCAAAATGTTTTTCTTCGAGACTGAATTTGGAATATATTAAATTACTCGTCTTACTCAAAAATATTTTTTCCGAATTATCTATATTTAGGATGAATTAAAGATGGGTACACATTCGTCCTAAAAATTTTAAATTTTTATATGTTTTAAATATTCTTTTAAATAAAATTTTATAAATTTTATTTTCTTAAAAGGTTTAAGTCTGACCTCTAATATAAAATCATATAATTATATCTTACATATATTCAAACATCATATAAATATTCTTTTTCGTTCTTAGAGTATTACTTGGAGTATTTAGATATTTTATTATATTAAACAGTTTTTGAATGGGTGAATTCGTACGTGATACTGATTTAAACGTAATTTGATCTGGAAACTTGTTGAAATTCAATGAATTTACTTTTTAATGTCTATTTGGAACAATGGATCTGAGATTCCGAATATTGAATTTTTCATATCAGTTGTGTAATTACGCAAAATGCAAATATAGATGACACAATGGTTTTGTTTTAATCGATGCCTATTGGTATCAGACTTGTTAATTTCGTTTCTATTTTTCATTGATCAATCCATTTAGTATATGAATGTATGATGTCTTTTTTGCTAATTAAAGTTTATGCTTTACTGTATTTTGTTGTTGATTGTCTGATTTCTCATTGATTGATATTTTTTAATACTTTCACAAATTCTAGGTGATGGAAGTTACACAGGTGCTTCTGAATGCACAATCAATTGATGGAACTATACGGAAGAAGGCTGAAGAAAGCTTGAAACAGTTTCAGGAGCAAAACCTTCCTGGTTTCTTGCTGTCACTCTCTTGAGAGTTGGCAAATGAGGAGAAACCTGTGGAAACACGTAAATTAGCGGGTTTGATACTTAAGAATGCATTGGATGCTAAGGAACAGCACAGGAAGTTTGAGCTTGTTCAAAGATGGTTGTTTTTGGATGACAATGCAAAGAGCCAGATTAAGGCATGCTTACTTAAGAACATTTCTTCTCCAGCATCTGATGCTCGATCAACTGCATCGCAAGTCATTGCGAAGGTTGCTGGCATTGAGTTGCCACAGAAACAGTGGCTCGAGTTGATAGGTTCTCTTTTATCAAATGTTCATCAGTCTCCAGCTCATGTATAGCAAGCTACTTTGGAGACTCTTGGATATCTGTGTGAGGAGGTCTCCCCTGATGTTATTGATCAAGATCAAGTAAATAAAATACTTACGGTTGCAGTTCAAGGTACGAGTGCATCGGAAGGAAACACTGATGTGAGGCTTGCTGCGACAAGAGCACTTAATAATGCACTGGGATTTGCTCTGGAAAATTTCAACAATGACATGGAGCGTGATTATCTAATGAGAGTTGTCTGTGAGGCAACCCAATCTTCAGACATGAGGATAAGGCAGGCAGCTTTTGAGTGTTTGGTTTCTATTTCATCAACTTACTATGAAAAACTAGCTTCTTATATTCAAGATATTTTTAATGTTACGGCAAAGGCTGTGAGGGAAGATGATGAATCTGTTGCTCTTCTAGCTATTGATTTCTGGAGCTCAATATGTGACGAGGAGATAGATATTTTGGAAGAATATGGAGGTGTTAATGGGGATTCTGATATTACTTGCTTTTACTTCATCAAGCAGGCTCTTCCTGCTCTTGTTCTTATGCTGTTGGAGTTGCTGTTGAAGCAGGAAGAGGATCAAGATCAGGATGAAGGGTCTTGGGATATTGCAATGGCTGGTGGAACTTGTCTTGGTTTGGTTGCACGGACTGTACGAGATGATATAGTCCCTCTTGTTGTCCCTTTTATCAAGGAGAATATAACCAAACCGGATTGGAGGCAGAGGGAGGCGGCAACTTATGCCTTTGGTTCAATTCTGGATGTTCCTTCTCCTGAAAAATTAATACCTCTTGTGAATGTTGCCCTGAACTTGATGCTAAGTGCTTTGACGAAGGACCCCAATAGCCATGTCAAAGACATTACTGCCTGGACCCTTGGGCGGATCTTTGAATTCCTTCATGGCTTATGCAACAGGGCCAGCTTTTGCTATGTACATGCCAGATTTTTATAGGTACCTGGAAATGGGTCTTCAGAATTTCGAAGAGTACCAAGTCTGTGCTGTTACAGTTGGTGTTTTGGGTGATATTTGTAGGGCATTAGAGGATAAAATTGCTCCTTACTGTGATGGGATTATGACACAACTTCTCAAGAATTTATCAAGCAATCAGTTGCATCGATCTGTGAAGCCTCCCATATTTCCGTGCTTTGGTGACATTGCATTGGCTGTTGGAGAGTATTTCGAAAAGTACTTAATGTGGGCCATGTCTGCTCTTCAGAGAGCAGCAGAGTTATCAACCCATGTTGCTGGAGATGATGAAATGACTGGGTACACAAATTCCCTGAGAAACGGAATTCTGGAGGCATATTCTGGGATTTTCCAAGGGTTTAAAAACTCTCCAAAATCCCAGCTCTTGATTCCTTATGCACCTCACATCCTCCAGTTCTTGGATGGCATATACATGGAGAAAGACATGTGAGTTCGACTAAAATAATACTCTTTTAGGCCCGTACTCAATTGAATGCATCGTGTTTTGACGTGTGGTTATAACAATCCTTTTTATTTTATACTTATTTTTCCTATAGGGATGATGTGGTAATGAAGACTGCTATCGGAGTCCTTGGAGTCGTAGCCGATACATGGTTCTTTGATTATGCAATCTCTTTCGTGCAAAGACTCTTTAAATGAATGCTTGTCTTCAGAAGACCTTATGATTAAAGAATCAGCCGAATGGGCCAAGTTGGCCATTACTCGTGTCATTTCTGTTTGATGGTGTTGCCATTCCTCATTTTTATTTTCTCTGTTGGAAATCCCATGCATTTGTCTGTGTTGAGTTGAGGGTCCGGGATTGCATGTGTCAAGTCTTCACCATTTTCAAGACAACAGAAGCTGTTATCGGACTTGAAGTCGTCGTTAACTCTTCCATCATCATCACGGGGTTGGATTCCATTTTTTTGACATCGAAGTGGATTGGGGTGGCTTCCAAGAAGTTTATGTTCATCGCATTGAAGTCGAGGGGAAAGAGTATCATTTGGTCCTCTGAACGACCAACGTCAAACTGTACCAACTAACTAGTAGCTTTGGTCACTTCCAATCGCTGTCCGTGAACACACCTCATGTCAAGACCGGCATCATTTTGCCCTTTTTTTAATTAATTTATACGCTGTCATGATAACCCGTAACTACATAAACCCGTTGAACCAAATAATAATAATAAGAGAAAATCGCCTCAGTGACAAAAAAAAAGTTATAATATACGATTTTAACCAACTTTTTTTGGATTTGCCAAAATGACCAACAAAATCGCAACGCGAAATAAAAATCGCAACGCGATCCCCAGAATCGCAAATCAGTTTCCAAAATCGCAACGCGATTCTTGAAAATCGCAATGCGATAGTACAAATTCGCATTGCGATTTTCCAAAATCGCAACGCGAATATGAAAATCGCAACGCGAACACATAAATCGCAACGCGTATCCGTAAATCGCAACGTGTATCCGTAAATCGCAACGCGTATGGGTAAATCGCAATGCGTATCCGTATATCGCAACGCGTATCCGTAAATCGCAACGATAATCCGTAAATCGCAATGAGAATCTGTAAATCGCAACGATAATCCGTAAATCGCAACGATAATCCGTAAATCGCAACGATAATCCGTAAATCGCAACGAGAATCTGTAAATCACAACACTGAAATTTTGGGTATATAACACTGAAATCATAAACTAAATCCCTAAATCGCAACTCATTCCATCTCCATCTATCACTCTCTCCGGCGACATCCGTTCCTATATCCAACGACATCCTTCCCAATCCGGCAACAGGTTTTAGTTTCGCAGCTCGTCTGTTTAGTAAATTAATTTACAACCATGAAATCATCTAATGTTGATCATGTTTGGATAGATTTGTGTTTTGGAGGGTCATGGGATAATGTTCATGGTGTTTTACAATATATGCCTTTACCCATGAATCTTCAACTAAAATTGTCTTTACAAAAGTTAACTTATGAAACTCTAATGCT